CATAAATCTTGGCCAAAATTTTATTTTTTTTTTAATTTAAATATTTATTGATTTTTCATATTATGACAAATTCCATCAATTAAAACACACATAAATATCCAATACATTTCTACATTTTCCCCTCTAAAAACTATTTCCTCTCCCCACCCCCCCACCCCCTCCCCCCATGACCCCAATCCCACCCCTCTCCTACCCCTCTGCATGCTAAACCGCTCTTTCCTTTTTAAAGCAAGAAGACATTATCTATCGTACTAAATTATACCTTCCTATATTTCTCTTTCAATTCAGATTTTTCCCATCTCGTATAATACGTCCCCATCATCTTGTCTTCCTGCATATGGTAAAGTTTTTCCATCCTACCCATCTGGTTCACTCTATTACCCAGTCTTCCTCCTTCGGCACCTCTGTTTTCTGCCAAAACTTGGGTATCAAACCTTTTGCAGCATTTAGATAGTACCATAATATGCCAAAATTTATTCTGGTATCTTTTTAATTAAAAAAAAAAAATAACCCAAATTAGTTTATAACCAAAAATTATAATTTTTAAAACTTTTTTATACATTTTTTTTATATTATTATTTGTTTTTTTTTTCTACATACTGTCACCCTAGCAGTACAGTGTCACCATGGTGACACTGTACTACTTCTGGGAGGTGATGAAAAATTTTTTTGTTACACTGATTGCTTTTACACCCATAAAGGCTGTAAAAGCAATCATTTTTCTCCTTCTCTCTGGCTGCATTCTTGCAGCCATTGAGAACTACAGTGTGAGCTGTGATTGGTCACAGCTTGTCACATGGTACAAGGCAGTTGTTTATGAAAGGCAACCCGCTCCTGCACTGCCACCGTCCGACCGTTTATAAAAAAATGCATGCAGTGTACATTCATGAATTAGACTTGGCATCAGCCTCTTGCAGTGTACAACAGAGCTCAAAGGAAGCAAAGGAGAAGCAGCACAAGGAGCCAATCGGTTGAATTGCAATGCAAGAGGCATGCTGATAAAAAACCCAAAGCAGAGTGACAACACGATTCATGCTGCTTCCCCTTTAACTGTCTATTCACAGGCTGGGAGAGGGAAAAAAAATTGCAAGCAGTTTTTTTTTTTTCAACTGGAACACACTGGTACTGGCAGCACTGGTAACGGCACGCTCGCCACCGGTCCCATATGAGTAGCTACTGCACATTCTATTGTTTACTTAGCAACTCCAGGGGATGGGGTTTTCAGTACCTGCACCCATGGCCGGATCTAGGGGGCTGCTGTGGTGAGTTGCGCCCCCTGCTAGATTTTAGTTGCGCTCCATCCCAGGCAACTCCCCCCCCCACCATAGATGTTGTGCTCAAGCAGGGTCGCCAACTGTCCATCAGGAGAAGCAGCTCATAAACCTAGAGGCGGCTGGCTGCAGCTGTGAAGGGTGAGTGTCTGTGACACTCATAGCCCTCATGCACGCTGCAGCTCAAAGAAGCAGCTCCTAGGGGCGTTTGAGCTGCTTTGAGCTTTTACTTTTCTCTGCCTGTTAAACCCACAACAGTACAATCAGTCTGTAGATGCAGTAAAGCATGCTTGTTATACTCACTGTGGAACCTAATTGGTTAATCCTCTACATTGTGTAAAAATTCTGTTTGATTCTGACTTCTCTGATCCTCCCCTTCTTCCAGTCTCCCCCTCTTATCTCCTGATAAGACATATTGTGTGGAGTCACTCTGCACATGCTCAGTTTAGTGTGTATTGCTAGAGAGTTTTTTTTTTTTTTCTTGGGAGAGTGCATGTGATTAGCACAGGGCCAATCAGCACTGTCTAGACAGATGTCATGGGTTCTGCATCCTCCTAGAGCTGAAACAAAAAAACTCCTCCTACAAGCTTTAACCAGTGCTCTGCTGGACACTGATAGAAGTCACAACACTGCTATATACTGCTGAGGAGAAAAGGTATTTAGCAATTTATATTTACTAAAATAATTGCATTTCCATGTTTGTGTGTATTGTGGGAGACCAGATATAGTGAATGCGGGGTCCCGGGGAGACCAGATATAGTGAATGCAGGGTCCGGGGAGACCGGATATACTGAATGCAGGGTCCGGTGAGACCGGATATAGTGAATGCAGGGTCCGGGGAGAGCGGATATAGTGAATGCAGGGTCCGGGGAGAGCGGATATAGTGAATGCAGGGTCCGGGAGAGCGGATATAGTGAATGCAGGGTCCGGGGAGACCGGATATACTGAATGCAGGGTCCGGTGAGACCAGATATAGTGAATGCAGGGTCCAGGGAGAGCGGATATAGTGAATGCGGGGTCTGGGGAGAGAGGATATAGTGAATGCAGGGTCCGGGGAGAGCGGATATAGTGAATGCAGGGTCCGGGGAGACCAGATATAGTGAATGCAGGGTCTGGGGAGAGCAGATATAGTGAATGCAGGGTCCGGGGAGAGCAGATATAGTGAATGCAGGGTCCGGGGAGAGCAGAGCAATATAGTGAATGCAGGGTCCGGGGAGAGCAGATATAGTGAATGCGGGGTCCGGATTTTAGCAACACTTTAACTCCTCTTCATGTTAGCCTATGCATCCATGCACACTATAGGCGTTTTCAGGGGTTTACAGGCAAAAAAGCTTACGGGACGAAAAAAAAAACAAAAAACAAACTAAAACACATTAAAAAAAAGAAAAGTGTAATACACTAAAGCAGTGATGGCGAACCTTTTTTGAGCATAAAAGTGCCCAAACTGCAACCCAAAATCCCAACTTATTTCATTTTCAAAGTGCCAACACTGCAATGAAACCTAATATCGAGCTTTTGGTTTAGAAAAAACAACTCGTACAGTAGTGCAAACTAATAACAGTACAGGGATGACCAGAGAACCTGCGGACAGTACAGGGATGACCAGAACTGGCGGACAACAACAGGGATGACCAGAGAAAAACACAGTACAGGGATGACAAAGACGGCGGACACAGTTAGGATGACCAGAGATAACGCAAGAAACAGTACAGACAGGACCAAGACCCCATCATAGTACAGGAATGACCAAGACTGCATAAATAACAGTACAGATAGATACCAGAGACTAAAAAACAGTACAGGGAGACCAAGAACTAAAAAAACATAAAATAAAGATACAAACCAAAAAATAATATCAAAAAACCATTAAACTGAAAAACCATACAGGGATGACCAAAATACTACAGGTAAGACCCAAAATGACATAAAAAAACAGAACAAAACTCTCCCAGAGACTGCGATACACAGTACAAAAAAACCAAAAAAACAGGTAAATGATAAACAAAACATAAAAAACAATAACAAACAAAAAGGATAAAAAAAAAAAAAATTAACCCAACCACAACCCCAATAAAAAAACACACCAAAATAAAAAACTAACCAAACACCAAAAAAAACCAATAAATAAAAAACACCCACCAAAACTCCAAACCAAAAACAAAAACCAAACACAAACCACACAACGCAACACCCCAACCTACACCAAAAGTAAAAAAAAAAAAAAACAACAAACCAAAAAACCCATCAAACAAAAAACACAAAAAAACCCCAAAACCAAAAAAGCCCCCACCACCCCCCCCAACCAACAAAAAAAAAACAACACCCACCCCCACCCCACAAACAACCAAAAACAAAAAAACCCCCAAACAAACAAACCACCCACCACACCAACCCCCCCCACAAACCAACCAACATCCAAAAAAAAACAAAAACCCCCCCCCCTACCAAACCCCCCCAACCCCCCCCAAACAACCCCCAAACAACCACACCAAAAAAAAAAACCCACCACCCCCCAAACCCCCCAAAAAAAAAAAAAAAAACAAAAACAACAAAAAACCCCCCCCCACCCCCCATACCCCAAACCACCCCCCCCCCCCACAACCCCCCAAAAAAAAAAAACACCACAAAAACAAACCAAAAAAAAACCCCAACCCCAAACAAAAAAACCCCACAACCCCCACCCCCCCCCCCCCCCAAACCCCCCCCCCCCCCCCCCCCCCCCCCCCCCCCCCCCCCCCCCACCCCCCCCCCACCCCCCCCCCACAAAAAAAAAACAAAAAAAAACCCCAAAACCCAAACCCCAAAAAAAACCCCAAAAAAACACACAACAACAAAACAAAAACCACCCCAAAAAAACCAAAAACCAAACCCCCAAAACCCCAAAAACAACCCCCCACCCAAAAAAAACCCCAACCCCCAAAAACCCCCACAAAAAAAAAAACCCCACACCAACCCCCCAAAAACCCCCCCAAACAAAAACCCACCCAAAAAACCCCCCCCCCAAAAAATAAAACACCCCCCACTAACCCCCCAAAAAAACAAAAAAAAAACACAAAAAAAAAAAAACCCAACCCACAAAACAAAAAAAACCCCCCCAAAAAAAAAAAAAAAAAAAAAAAAAACCCCAAAAAAAAAAAACCCCCAAAACAAAAAAACAAACAAAAAAAACCCCCCCAAAAAAACCCCCCACAACCCCCCAAACCACCAAAAAAAAAAAACAACACCCAAAAAAAAAAAAAAAAAACCAAAACAAACAAAAAAAAAAAAAAAAACAAAAAAAAACAACCCAAAAAAACCCCACAAAAACGAAAAAACCAAAACAAAAAAAAAAAACCCAAAACCCCCCCCCCCACAACCAAAAAAACCACCCAAAACCAAAAAAAAAAAAACAAAAAAAAAAAAAAAAAAACAAAATAAAAAAAAAAAAAAAAAACCAACCAAAACCCACAAAAAACAAAAACACCCCACCCAACGAAAAAAAACACCAACAAACCCAAAACCAAAACACACCCCCCTAAAAAAAAAAACCCCCAAAAAAAAAAAACCCAAAACACACCAAAAAAAAAAAAACCCCAAAAAAAACAAAAAAAAAAAAACAAACCTACCCCCCAAACCCAAAAAAAACCAATACCCCCCCAACCCCCAAAAAAAAAAAAAAAAAAACCCCAAAAAAAAATAAAAAAAACACAAAACCACCCCCAAACAACACACCCACCCCAAAATCCAGAAAACAAAAAAAAAAAAAAAAAAAAAAAAAAAAAAAACAAAAAAAACACCCAAAAAAACCCCCACCCTGACAAAAAAACAAAAAAAACCACAAAAAATCAAAACAACAAAAAAAACAAACAAAACTACAAAACAAAACAAAAAAAAAAAAAAAAAAAAAACAATAACCAAACTAACCCAAAACCAACCAACCAAAAAACAAAAAAAAGCCAAAAACCAAAAAAAACACCCCCCAAAAAAAAAAAATAAACCCCCAAAACACACAAAAAAAAACAAAAAAAAACCACAACAACAAAAAAACAAAAAAAACAAAACAAACAAAAAAAACAAAAAATGCCACAAAACAGAAAAAAAAAAACAAAAAAAAAAACCATCGCCCCCAAAAAACAAAAAAAACACAACAAACAAAACATAAAAAAAAAAAAAAAAAAGGTCCCCCAAAACCCCCAGCAACAAATAAAAAAAAAAAACAAACAAAAAAAAAAATTCAAAATAAAAAAACCCCAAAAATCCAAAAAACACACCTCAAACCCCCAAAAAAAAAAACACAACCCGTTAAAAAAAAAAGGCCCCCCACTAAAAAAAAAAAACCCAAACAAACCCCTACAACAAACACTAAAAACAAAAAAAACAAACCCAAAAAAAAAAAACAAAAAACAAAAAACCAAAAACCACACAAAACAATCCAACAACCAATAACAAAAAACCCCCAAAAAAAAACACAATCAAAAAAAAAAAAAAAAACACCAAAAACAAAAAAAAAAAAAAAAACAAAACCCCCAAAAAACAAAAAAAAAAAAAAAAACAAAAAAAAAACCAAAAAAAAACCAAAAAAACAAACAAAATCAAAAAACACCACAAAAAAAAAACCACACCCAAAAATAAAAAACCCAACAAAAAATCCATTAAAAAAAAAAAACCAAAAAAATCAAAAAAAAAAACCTAAAAAAACAAAAAAAAATGCCCAACCCACAAACAAAAACATCAAACACAAAAAAAAAAAAAAAACAAAAAAAAAAACCAAAACCCAAAAAAAAACCCAAAAAACAAACACGAACAAAACAAAACACCGAAACAAAAAAACCCCAAAAAAAAAAAACCCAAAAAACAAAAAAAAACAAAAACAGCCAAAACAAAACAAAAAAAAAACAACCAAACAAAAACAAAAAAAAAAACACAAAACAACACCCACCCCCCAAAAACCCTAAAAAAAAACTAAAAAAAACAACAAAACAAAAAAAAGACCACCCCCCCCAAACCAAAAAACAAACCAAAAACACAAAAACCCACAAACAAAACCAAACCTTCCCCCCCCAACCAAAAAAAACAACTAAATCACCCACACCAAACAAAAAAAAAACAAAAAAAAAAAAACAAAAACCACCAACCCTCAAAAAAAAAACAATAAAAAACAACAAAAAAACCAACCAATCAAATACACCCCAAAAATAAAAAAGAAAAAAAAAACATAAAACACAAAAAAAAAACAAAAAAAAAAAAAACCAAACAAAACCCCCACAAAAACCAAACATTATCCCAAAACAAAAACCACCAAAAAAAAAAAAAACAAAAATGAATAAAAAAAAAAACAAAAGAAAACTGAGAAAAAAAACCAAAAATGCAAAAAATAAACAAAAAAAAAAAATCCACATAAAAAACAAAAATCCCCAAAAAAAAAAACAAAACCAAAAAAACAACAAACAAAAAAGAAAAAACTAAACACGAAAAAAAAAAAAACCAAACAAAAAAAGAAAAAAAAAAAAAAAACCTCCAACCCAAAAAAAAAAAAAAAATAAACTGAACAAAAAAACAAAAAAAAAAAGGAAAAAAACAATAAAAAAACCAACAAAAAAAAAAAAACAAAAAAAAAAACAAAAAGAACACAACAAAACCCCAAAAAAAAAAAAAAAAAAAAAAACCCCCAACAGCAAACAAAACCAAAAATAAAAAAAAAAAAAAACATACAAAAAATATCAGAAAAAAATAAACAAAACAAACATAAAAAGAACAAACACTAAAAAAAAAAAAAGAAAAAAAAAACAAAAAAACAAAAAAAAAAACAAAAAGAAAACCATAAAAAAAACAAAAAAAAAAAAAAAAAAAAACAAACACAAACCATCTTCAACAAAAAAAAAAAAACCCCCCCCAAAAAAAAACAAAAACAAACCCAAAAAAAAAAATAGAACAAAAATATAAAAAAACTCCCAAAAACAAAAAAAAAAAACATAAAAAAACAACTAAACACAAAAAAAAACAAAAAAAAAAAAAAAAGCAAAAAAACACCAAAAAAAAACAAAAACTAACAAAAACAAAAATAAAAACAAAACACAAACAAACAAACCCCCCAAAACATAAAAGCAA